GGGCCAGCCCGAGGACTAGCAGCTAAAAGAGTCCTACATGGCCAGCCCCAAGGTTTGAGTCCCAAACCTGGCAGCTTGAAAAACTGCCTTGAAAAAACCCGGGTCTGCGGTCGCGCCTGCCCAAGACCCTGAAAGGAGGGAGGATGAGGCTGGTGACGTGGCCACGCCCATAACGTCCTCCTCCTCCTGTCCGTTCTGCTCCGGCCAACAACAGGCCCCAGAAAAGTGAAGAACGTGCACACTGCAGGGGGAACGGCCCAGCCTGCTCAGCTACTACACGTTAAACCCAGGTGCTGGCCGGGCAGCTAGAGCGCGCGCCCTAATCACACACGTGTCTAAGTGAGTGTGCAGGACGGCGTTCTCCTGAGCGTCCAGGACGGGCCCTGGCCGACCGCCCCTTCTGCAGTAGCACACCTGCCAAGCATGCGCAGGTAGGTCTGCCGCTGGCGAGACCGCAGGCTCCTCTCCGCCCACTGCCGGCGCCTCAGCTCCGAGGCGGCGACCACCTGGCCAGACACGCGCTGGCACTGGGAGCTGATGCTTCGGAGCACAACGAGCACTTCGAGCACGGCTCTGGGGCAGAAGAGGGTGGGCACGCGTGTGCCGCAGAGCTCACGGAGCACCTGGGACCACCTGCAGAGAGAGCACGCTGTCAGCGGGCGTGGCCCACGGCTACGTGTCATGTCTGCCCACCCCGAGGCCCCTTGTGGAAAGTAAGGACAGCAGATGCAGCCACGTGAGGCACCCACAGGTATTCGACTGCTAGGGCGAGCATCTAACCCCACCAGACCATGCTCACGCCCAAGTTCACCTGAGCTCGCCCAGAAACCTCCCTGGGGCGGAAGCGGGGGACGCTGGGAGCACCCCGTCCAGTAGCCGTAAACCCAGAACACAGACGTGTACATGACCACGGTCTGCTCACGAGGAGGTCACCAACTCACTTCTCAGCAAGAGGGTCGTCCACATTGCTACACACACAGTGGCCCTCAGGCAGGGCATGGCAGAGCGTGTGCAAGACACGTGTGACTAAAGAGCTGTAAGCATTTGTGTCAGAATTATCTACCAGTCTGAAAAAGAGGAAATAAACATAGACATTAAAGGCATATGATACGGCCGGCTGCACAGCCTCGTGGCTGAAGTGGCCGGACCCCACATGGCTGACTGTGTGGCTCAAACCCCAGCCTAGCTGCGTGAACAAGCAGAAGCGTGTGCCCCAACCCTGGCAGGATGGAGAGATGGCGACGAGACCACAGCGACGTGGCCCACTGGGGCGCGCTCTTTCCCCTCCGGCCAGCGCTCGTGCACACGCCCACGGCCAACAGGAAAAGTACAGAGAGGGCAGTCGTCAACACGCCCGGGGGTCTGTAGGTGACATCACTGGGGCACTTGACTGCCACACAGTCAACTGCAGGTTGAGTCCTGGGCCTGGCTGCGTGAAAGTCATGCTGGGTGCATATGCGTGTGCCCAGAACCCAGAGAGAAGGGAGAAGGGACCGGGCACGGCCATTCCCCAGGGGCTGATTTCTTGCCTTCCCTCTCTGTCTCCCTCAGGCAAGAAACACACCTTACAAGAAAACCTTAAAGGGAAAAGAAAGCCACAGAACAGCCACGGACCCCCGTGCCTGGGACCCCGTGTGAGGCAGAAACAGGCACGGCACAGGCACGATCTAGGACGCGCCACCACGCCGGGAGCCCAGGTACCGTGTCGCCACATGTCCAGCCAGGAGCCTGCTGGCCAGGCGCAGGGTGCCATCCCCACCTGGACCTCCACGTCTCTGAGCACCCGCCCGCCTTTCCCATGACCGAGAACATCCCTCAGTGGGCCCGAGCCTGCCCGCCCTGGGCCGCGCACGGCCTCAGCCGACTGTGGCGGGCAGCGCAGCGCAGCACAGCCAGGGACCTCACGCACCTGGCCACATCCCTGGGGGGCTCCTCGGGCAGGGGCAGCAGTGGCCAGCCCCGCAGGCTCTCCTCACAGCTCAGCACCTGGGGACACAGTGGCCTTGGTCACGAACCCCGCGCTGTTGCAGTCAGTGGCGAGTGACACAGCCGCTCGTGGCCGCACGTCTGGATGGGGAGCCCGTGAGCGGGGACTGAGGCCACGTCGGCCGTTCTCTCGACACCACCCCGGCCAGGGGGCCCAGCTGGCCCTGGCTGAATCGGGCGACGGTGACAAGCAGCAGCACCCAGCAGGGGCAGGGGTGCCGTGGCGGAGCCGGCTGTCCCCGCGACGAGATGTATGGGGCCCGGGGGCTGTGGCCAGCATCCAGCCGTCTACGGGGCACCCACCCGGGAAGCCTGAGGGCCTGCAGCCCACCCACGCCTAGCCGAAGCCACACGACCGATCCCCTGGCAGGTCTTCCCCACATGCCTGACTGACGGTGCAAGCAAAGCATCTTGTGGGCGCTGACACTCATGAACGGGTCACCTGTCGGGCCACAGACAGCCCAAGGGGCAAGCCTAGCTACCAAGGAAAACAGAACAGGCAGCAAGAGTGGCAGGAGCGGGACGCGGAGGAGTCGTGCTGGCTGCCGAGGGATAGCGGAGCCACCCAGGGACACGGAGGACACCAGGAAGACAGATGCAGCAGTCCAGGTGCAAGGGCAAAGCCTACCTTCCAGAAACTTCCCTTTCTTCTCAAATTTGAACCAGCAGGTGCCCAGGCAAGTCGGGGGACTCTACCTTCCTGCTGGCCCATTTCCGGAGCCCAGAACCCAAGTCACCTCAGTACTAGGGGCACCACAGAAGCACGAGGACGAGCCTGTCCCCAAACCAGAGCCTCTGGTGCCAGCGCGGGCAGGCAGAGCCCCCTGTTCCCCACACAGCGTCTTCCCTTTGCCATGGCTGCTGTGGCCCCGACCCCTCGAGGCACGGCGTCCTCACCTGGCCTTGCCATCCCTCCCATCCGGGAGTGTTTCATGCCTCCTGCCCGAGGGCTGTCTGCCTGGGCACCCAGGAGCACCCGGCCTGACTCCTCCAGACCTGGGCTGCCCTCACCGGTAGCGACGTGGCAAAGCATGCACCAGTTTCTGACGGCAACACCCAGGCACGGACCGCTAACGCCAAGCACATCTGTTAACCCACGGGAACCAAAGCTGGTCTGAGGCGGCAGGAGAAGCAGCGCCCTTCCTTACACGGACAGGGAGAGGCACTGCATGCTGGTAAACAGGGACTGCACCCACCACGGGCCGAGCCAAGAGCCTGGCGACCTGTCTGCTGACACTAAGAGCCAAGTGAGGTAGGTCAGCATCGTTCCTGACCGCCAGGCGCCGAGCCACTCTGAGCCCGCAGGGCAGAGGCAGGGGCTCTCGGACCTGAGCCGGAGACACGAGGCAGGCCGTGCCCCACGCCCCACCCACGGCCGCGCTCGGCATACCTGTTTCTTCAGCTGAGGGATGGGGTGGCAGCGGGAACTATAGCCTTCAGCGAGACTCAGCAGCAGTTTTACTGCTGGTTTCTCCTGGATTAAAAGAAACAGCCATTAACTGTGACTTCTGGCTTCTACTTTTCTTCTACTGAAGGTCATTTCTCATCATTTCTTCAAATAGTCCTGTTAATCTCCAACAGAGTGAAACAGGTCTTGGGCCAGCAGAGGGTGTAGCAGTTACACCCCTGTGCTCCCCATGGCCACTGCAGTGTAAGTCCTGGACCCAAGGCCTGAAAGGCTGGGCCGGGTGTGAGCCCCAGATCCTGGGAGGAGAATGAAGGAGGGACCGCAGCTCGGCCATCCTCCCCGGGCTGACTTCTCACTTTCCCTCTCACTGTCCCTGTCCTTCTCTTTCTTCTGCAAACACATGAACCTGAAGACAAGAACTTCTTAAAAAACAAACAAACAAAAAAATAGGTCTGACAAGGTAGTCAAATCAGCCAACACAATGATTTTAAATGAAGCCAACTGGCAGTGATAAACTGCAAAAAAACACAAGGTGACCAATCTAGAAATAGAGGAAGGAAACATTCTAATTAATTAAATTTTAAGAGATTCTCCTAATTAAATAGGAAATGGTCATTTAAATACTAAAAATCAATATAACCAAAATAGGATTACACAGCTACAAATACTTAGTAACTATGGAAAGAAGCCAAAATAACGGATCTGCGGCTGCTTTAACTATACTCTGTGAAGCCCATGTCGAGCAACGAGAGACCACGAGAGACTAAAGAAATACAAGACAGTGAGTGGGCGGTGGGCAAGCTCAGACTGTCCACAGGAGCACGAGTCCCAACGCCAGGAGCACCAGTAACGGCCAGTTCACGAGCCACGCGACATGCTGCCCGCTGCTCCCGAGCCTGGGAGCCCGGCTGCAGCTGGGTGTGCCCCGGTCGGGACAGACGTCAGACGAGGGCCCGAACGAACAGACGCTCATTTCAGTTTCACCATCAGGGATTTTCCGCGTTGGCAAAACTGTAACCACCCCTCAGCGAGGGGCAGCTCAGAAGGAGCACTCCAGGAGCGACTGGGCACCCAGGGCTGCTAAGTCAGCGGAGGCAGGACAGGGATGCCACACGCAGGCCCTCCTGAAGCACCCTGGTCACCCGACTGCAGCTCTGCCCCACGCACACATCTGGCTATGCTGATGGAAAAAGGGGAGACGAGGCACCCAACCACTGGGAACGGGGACTCTGGGAGGTGGGTTTCCCAAGAACTTTCACTTTTAACACCATTTTCCTATCTTGTTTGAAATTTAGAACAACTGTCACGTGTATAACCTGAAAAAGATTAAGACATCAGTAACCAATACTCCAAGCTAAACTACTTATTTTAAAATAATAAAAGAATGATAGCTTATTAATAGCTGCAAACAATCCACCCACCAACTTAATAGAGAACTATAAAAATTCCCTAAGGCCAGGGCTGGCAGGTGGTGTGGTGGTTAAGGCCTGGACTCCCATATGGCTGACCAGTTTGAGGCCCAGACAGAGCAGTTTGGAAATTCACCCTGAGTACATGTGCATGCACACCCGAAGTCCCACAGGAGGGACATGTGCATGCACGCCCTAAGTCCCACAAAGAGAATGGGGGAGAAGGGATCACAGTGGGGTCATCCCCACTAGGGGGCAACTTTTCACTTTGCCTCTCTCCGGCGATCACACACACACCATGGCAATAACATACATATATGTATAAATAAAGTTCCCGGAACCAGCCTGTCGCGTGTGTTTAAAGCAGTGGGATCCTACATGGCTGATGCGTAGGTGAGTCCCAGACCTGGCGGCTTGAACACCACGCCCGGAGTGTATGCATGCACACTCAAAATCGTAACAGGAGAAATGGAGAAAGGACTGCAGCGTGACCACCCCCTTGGGGGGTGCTTTCTTTTCTACCCACCCCCCATAAGCACATTTGCCCTTCAGCAAATATTTAAAAATTCACATTATTCAGTTCATCCAGTTTTATAATTTGTTATGCTTTCAATTCTTATTACTATTAAAAACAAAGGCAAATGTTTTTCAGAAACCAGAGAACATGCGCATATGCTTAACTCACAATGAGCCCTTCTGTTAGGACACCGCTATTCAGTTAAAAAGTTGGGACCAGCAGTTGGCATAATGGCTATGTCACTGGACTCTCATATTGTCAACCATAGTTCGAGTCCCGGACCCGGTGGCTTAAGACTCACGCCAGGCACGTGTGTGTGTGTGCCCAAGATCCCGAGAGGAGGATGAAGGAGAAGGGATTGCGATGTGGCCATCCCCACTAGGGGGTGATTTCTCGCTTTCTGTCTTTCTGTCACTCTCTTGTCTTTCTGGCGAGCGCACGCGCCCTATAGCAAAAACTTATTAAAAAAAAAAAAAGTTAACAGTTACATTCCGAAAATAAACTACACTCTCTCTGCTACATGAAGGTGATTCTCAGCCATCACTGTCTTCCATTCGTTACCTTGAAATCTGGCAACAGGTCTTCTGTGAATCTGAGCACCAGAACTGTGGAGAACGCCAGCAGCTGATTGGCTGCTTCTTTGGGAAATTCCCGTAGGCTGATCTCCCCGTGGCTTAAATGGTCTCTTAGTCGGGGACCCTTCTGATGGTTCAGGAAATCCCAGAGAAATTCCTTTTAGAAAATGAACATAAAAGACATCTGGTCAGCATTCAGACAGAGGGAAGGGAAGGGCCCAGGTCCAGAGCCAGCCACACCCAGTGCTGGGGAAGAACAAGGAAAGTCAGCCTCATGGGGCAAGTATGCTAAGACCAAGGGGCAGAAACCATAGGAGGGTTCTCCTCGGGAAGCCTGGCTCTCACCACCACGCAGGACCGGGAGAAACAGGGAGACTGGGACTAACCGGGAGAGTGTGCCGCGGGTGGTGAGGAGACAGGAAAACTCACGTCTCCTGCCCCTCGGCCTGCTCAGGAGGAGGGTGCTCCATCCACACCTGAGAACCATCCCTCCGAGGCCACGAATGCAGTCCCTGCTGCAACACGTGAACTGGCCTGGTCCGAAGGAGGGTGCTCCATGCACACCTGAGAACTGACCTTCCCGAGGCCACGAACACAGTCCCTGCAGTACAAGAGCCGCCCTGCTCCAAAGGAGGGTGCTCCGTCTACACCTGAGTATGGTCCCTCCGAGGCCATGAACGCAGTCCCTGCTGCAGCATGTGAGCCGGCCTGCAGAACCACCTCCTCTGTCTCCTCTCTTTCTCACGAGCTCACCCTCTGCCCTTCCTGGAAACCAATGAAGGCAGCTGCTTCTTAATTCTCCACAGTCCCAGGCACTCCCAGGGTGACAAGAAGGAGGGTCACCAAATGCTGGCCCTGTGGGCTGCCACCGAGGGGTTGTGGAGAGGCACAGTGGGTCAGCTCGCCGCTGACTTCGCTGAGGGCAGACAGGGTACGGGATCAGTGAGGCCAGAGTGGAACCTCAGCCTGCCTGCCGAGTCAGGGACACTGGGCATTCCTTCAATGAGAAGTGAAGAACAGATACACAGCGCCTACTTCAAGTGCAGACTTGTCCCTGTAACGGCTGCGTCTGACACAGAGGATGGGAGCTGAAGGGCTCTGGACGGGACTCTTCACCTGACACACGCGCCCAGCAGTCACCTTGATCACGCTGCCCCCTTCACAGAGCATACACCCCTCCACAGCCAGGGTGTGGAACTGACCCGTCCACGTGCTGCGTTTACGCGCAAGAGCATTGAAGAGTAGGCCCAGAGCAGGCCCAGGCCGGGCCACGGCTGCACAGCTGCTAGCAGACAGCCAGGCTGGCACATGGGAGTGGCCCGGGAGTCCTCTGCTCCAGCCACAGTTGATGGCACACAGAGAAGGGCCAGCCACACCCACAGGCCAGCAAGTCTGGACAGACTTCCTGTACGTACCATGGCAGGCTCTCCCAGGAGAACAGGGAGACGATTGACCTCACCGTCGCTCAGGTGCTCCGCCAGAATCTGAAACGGGAGGAGGTTGTTAACGTGTGCCTACGCTCACACACGCCACGCAGAGCAAGGACATCGTGCTTCCAGGTCATTAACACGGTGAGGGGCATTCTCCTGCCGGTGACTGCCGTGCAGTCTGTCCTTACTCATTTGATCTGCTGAGACAGCGAGCTATCCTCAGAGCACCTGATCCTTTCAATTGTAGTCTGTGTGCACACGCATCAGAGTCACCGATTAACTCACCATGGCCTGCAGTGCCCGGTCATCGGTGCCCACCCTGCGGGGCTCACCCAGGGACTGACTACACAACCCACTGAGGCTCACTCTCCAAACATGCTGTGGTAACGGGACAAACCTCACGGCAGCGGGCGAGCTCTGCAGGGAGCAGCCATACTCAGCCCACAGGCACACACTCGGGAATCTCACATGCACTCGGGAACCACATGTGCACTCGAGAGTCACATGCATGTACTCGGGAATCACACATGCACTCAGGAATCTCACATGTGCACTCGAGAACCACACGTGTGCACTCGGGAATCACAAGCATTCAGAAATCACACTCAGGAACCACACATGCACTCAGGAACCACACACACGTACATGTGTGCACTCAGGAATCACATACATGCATTCAGGAATCTCCCATTCAGGAAGCCCACATACTCACTCAGGAACCACACACACATACATGTGTGCACTCAGGAATCACATACATGCACTCAGGAATCTCCCACTCAGGAAGCCCACATACTCACTCAGGAACCACACACACATACATGTGTGCACTCTGTGCCCAGAGGGAATCACACACACATACATGTGTGCACTCTGTGCCCAGAGAGCTACATGTGGACCTTTCCTGCGTGTAGTTATCAGTGACCTCCATGCTGCCTCCGAGAGGTGGTCAGGGTCTCTGTCCACGCTGGGTCTCCCAGAATTACTTTCCAAGATGGCACACACAGCCTCTCTCCTCTCTGGTGGCTGCAGGTACGTCCAGCTGCAGTGTTTTACTCCAGTATTTTCACCTTAAGACTGCGAAGCCCATTAGGAAGGCAGCGGGCCAGCCACAGCGGCAAGCACTAATGTGACAGTCCACAGTATGAGAAGGTCCCAAGTTCACGTCCCAGGGCCTCTGTGCACACCAGGCACACAAGCATGCACACACACACGCATTCACACGTGGGCACACAAGCATGCACACACACACGCATTCACACATGCCCACCATCACCTTGGCCGGCTGAGGGTGAGAATGGAACCTGGCATGGACCCTACTGAGGCTGCCTCTCTGTCTCTCAGTCTCTAACTCTGTCTCTACCTCATGAAAAACATAAACTTTGAAAAATGGAGCCACTGCATCAAGGGTGTGAGACCCTTACTGTGGGGGGCCAGGGGAGGTGGGAGAGGCGATCCTCACGCCAGCTCCCGAGAACAAGAATTGGCCTGGGGGCTCTGTGCAGACACGGGGCCTCAGTGAGACCTCTGCCAGAAACGCCTGCGTGACCTGGAGCTGACCCGTGTTGTTGTCTGCCGACAGCCAGAGAGAACTGTCCCTGAGCAGGACCCGCCCTCTGCCAGCTCCCGAGTGCGGCCCGTCTACCCGGCGTGTGTGCTTTGCTCTGCAACACCTACTCTGGAACGCCCCGCACTCCTGTTACCCAGCCACGTGCACCCCACACCGGGAACAGCAGACGTGGCCCATTTCAAAGATCCATGCTAGCCCTCACTCCGAACAGAAGCCTCTAAGTGATGACAGCCGTGCTGGCAATCCTCTTGGCCTTTCGCAGCTGAGAGCTCTGCCGAACTATAAACCTAGATCCGTCAGTCTCAGGATCCACCCGAGACCGTACCGGCGGCCAGGACGCACCCTGGCGTGCCCGCGGCATGGCCGTCTCCCGTGAGAGCGGGCCTTCTCCGCTCTCCTCCACCTGGTGCTGCGATCTGTGTGTAAAACAAGACACTGCTCAGTGTCGAGTGACCGTCGAGTCTACTTACTTCATCCAAGGTGGTATAAGGCGCCGTGGACTTCGAGAAAGGGAAGAAACAGAGAGAGACCGTTAAGGCAGAACGCGAGCAGAGCAATGTGAATCAACGCAGACGTCAACACTGACTCACGGCCCCGAATCAGAGACGCTCGGCTAAAAGCCCAGCGTCATCCAGCAACACTCTGGGAAGTACGCCATGGGTGACATCAACGCACGACGTGACAGCCCTCCCAGAGCCGGGCCAGACACGGGGCGTTTCCACGCTACACGAGTGGCACTGAGAACCTGCTCCCACACAGCCTGCACCCCTGCGGCTGGGCGTACTCAGGGCAGGGCTCAGACACAGCGCTGGGGTCAGGATGCCGCACTTCTAGCCCCGACTGCCAGTTCCCTGCAGAAGACAGACCCTGGCCAACTCCCTTAACAAGACTCGGTTTCTCTGCGAACGGGAACTCAGAAGGTTCTGCACGTGATGGGCAGAAGCAGGGCCCCTGAGATCCACCTCTCAAGGGACGGTCCGTGCTGACCAGTGGTCAGTGACCCGTGACCCACTTCCGATCTGGTGCTACCCAATGCTGACAGCCACAGGGCTGCAGGAGAGTGGCGCCGCGCCCTAAACTCCCAGGCACGTGTGCCGGCCCTCCGCAGTCCTAGCTCCGGCACAAGTTCCCTTCCCTGAAATGCTGCGTTTCCGGGACCAGCAGTTGGCATAATGGCTATGTCGCCGGACTCCCATGTAGTCGACCGTGATTCGAGTCTGGGACCCAGTGGCTTAAACTCACGCCGGGCACGTGTGGGCACGTGTGTGTGCGTGCCCAAGATCCCGAGAGGAGAGTGGAGGAGAAGGGATTGCGGCATGGCCATCCCCCCTGCGGGATGATTTCTTGCTTTCTGTCTCTCTGTCTCTCTTTCTGGCGAGTGCATGCGTCCTATAGCAAAAATCTCCCCCCCC